TGAATATCATCTGTGGTTAATTTTCAACTTCTGAGCATTTTTGCTTTTTAATATCCCAGCTGTGGAGACATAGGGGAAAATGGGACTGGAGATGGGGGGAAGATGTTCAGAAATGTACCTTAATCCAGTGTCTTCTACAGTCTTCCTCAGGCAGGCTGAGGGGCTAGCAAAATATTAGGGAAAAAAATGAAACTAACTTCTTTTTCTAACTATTCCAAAGGCTACAAATGCCCCAAATCTACAAATAAACAGGCCTGCACACTCAAGCCTGTGTTTCTCCCATCCTTCTCCAAGAGATCAGAAACAAACTGAGGCCCCTCAGGAATCTTGCCAGCTAGGGAGGTGTCTGGTTTTTCAGGCACAGTTGAGTGATTCAGAGTGAAGGAGCCTGGGTGAGGCCCTGGGAGCAGCGGAGCATGCCCCAGACCTGTGTTAGTTTGAGGTGGCAGCGCAAGAGAGACCAAGCTGTTTTCTCCTGTGAATGCAGATGAGTGGGTGAGATGGCTGGCTTCTTTTGAGTTATGGCCAGCTGGAAGCCTTACCCACAGATGTGAACTGTTTATCTATGGGTTTGATGTGTTTGTTTTCTTTTCTCACTAGGACAGGATTGGGGAGGTGGTGGGATGGATGGAAAGCAACAGCAACAAGAAAAATTCAGTTGGTTAGTAAGGCAGCAGGGAGAGAACTGACTTTCCTTAATCGCCAAGAATGTTGAAGTCCTTTTTGAAAATTACCCCTAACTCTTAAATTCTATTTGATGCCTCTTTACTGAGGGCCTTCTATAGTGCCTTGCTTGGATAATGGGTTGCAATGATATAGGTCATTGCCACAAAGGTACTTACATAATTTATTGTTTTATTTTATTTTATTTTTTAGAAAGCAGGGTTTATTGAGAAGATAGTAAAGCTCCCACAGTGGGAGTGGATCTGAGGGGGTTGCCCTCTTATATAATTTAGTAAGGAGGAGGGGGACAGTTATGGAGACATCTGTACATGAGCATTTAATTGGATGCCATAAGCAGAGAATTCTGTGGAAACTCTGGGGGGAGAAAGGTGTTGGGTGGAGATTATTGACTAGGAATGACTTCATACAAGAGTTGACAAATGGAATGTCCCCTCTCTGGGGACATAAAAGATTGCTGGTGATTATACAGGACAGACTTAGGCCACTGCATATTTTTCAAAATGTATATTTACGTGAAGTTTTCCATTCAAATGCATGAAAAAGCAAATAAAGAGAATATATACTAAGATATGATCAATCAGTTAAGAAGTGGTTTTCATATCTTTGAAAAACAGACTGGACAATAAATTACATTTTGCTAATGTGGGAGGAGGAAAGTAAGACTGCACTGTCTGCTGGAATAGAAAAACACTAGGTAGGTAATGCCAAACAAATTACTGCAAATTGATACATGTATAACATGTATCAATGAACCTGCAATGCATGTCAGTGACTTTCACACGTTACTACATGTTAGAAAAATATAAGACGTAAAATTTTGGTTTTTTTGTCAAAAATAAGTTTCTAAATGTCCAAAAGTCCATTGTAAATCAAATATTATTACAATAAAATAATTGGTTCTAATGCTCTTCTGTTTTATATGGAGTGATTCATTTTTCATTATTTCATAGGAAAATGTGGTCGAATTGCTGGTAAGTAACCGTGAGAAGTCTCTGAGTACAAAGGGCTAGAGATGGAAATGAAGTTGCACATTCCGAGGTAGAAGAGAGAGCAAAGAATTGGGAGTTTTTCTGTGGGCACACAGTCCTCAGTGGAGTCCCTGTGATCTAGGATTGTTACCATACCCTTGCATCTCTTAGCCCCTGGTGTGCTGGTCATTTCAGCCAGACAGGAGAGGGCATTGTTCAGGCCTTTCCTCCTTGTTGCCTTTTCCCTCCTTTGACTAGATCAGTGCTCTTAGGACAGGGGGATGGGAAGGGGTGGAAAATTCATCTCAGTAGTCTTTATACATAGTTTGGTATACACTGAGCACAGGTGAGAACCAGGAGCAGTTTGTTTGTTTTTTTAATGTCACAAATATTTACATCAGCTTTATTGAGATATAATTCACATACCACACAGTTTGCCCAAAGTATACATTTTTTTTTTTTTTTGAGTTGGAGTCTCACTCTGTTGCTCAGGTTGGAATGCAGTGGTGCACTCACGGCCACCCCAGCATTGACCTGCGGGGCTCAGGTGATTCTTCTGCCTCAGCCTTCCAAGTAGTGGAAACTATAGTTATTTGCTACCACACCAGGCTAATTTTTGATTTACTGTAGAGAGGAGGTCTCGCCAAGTTGCCTTGGCTGGTCTCAAACCCGCAGGCTCAGGCAATCCACTTGCCTCGGCCTCCCAAAGTGCTGGGGTTACAGGCTAAGCCACCGAGCCCATCCCAAAGTATACAATTTAATGGTTTTTAGCATATTCACAGAATTGTATAACCACAACCACAGTTTAATTTTAGAACTGGAATAGATATTCTAGTTTAATTTTAGAACTTTTTTCATAACCGAGAAAGAAACCCTGTGCCCATCTGCAGTTACTTCTGCTCTCCCTTGCCCTAGGCAACCACTGATCTATTTTCTGCCTCTTAATGGGTTTGCCTATTGTGGCCAGTTTGTATACTGTAAATAGGATCGTGCAATATGTGGTCCTTTGTGACTGACTTATTTCACTTAGCATAATGTTTTCAAGGTTCAACCCTGTGCATGTATCGGCACTTCATTCTTCTTTATGGCTGAATAATATTTTATTGAGCAGATATACCACATTTATTTATCCAGTCATCAGTTGATGGGCGTTTGGGTTGTTTCTCCTTTTTGGCTATTAGAAGAATGCTGTTATGAACATTTTATGCAAGCTTTTGTGTGGGTGTATATTTTCGTTTCCTTTGCATGTATACCTAAGAGTAAAATTACTGTGTCATATGGTAGCTCCTTGTTTAACATTTTGAGGAACTGCCAGATTGTTTTCCACAGCAGCTTTATCATTTTACATTCCCACTAGCAGTGTATGAGGGTTCTCATTTTTCTGCACACTCACCTATACTTCTGTTATTGTCTGTCTTTTTAAATCATAGCCACCCTATTGGGTAAGAAATGGTATCTCATAGTGGTTTTGACTTTTGTTTCCTTAATAACTAATGACGTTTAACATTTTTTTATGTGCTTACTGGATACTTGTATGTCTTCTTTGAGGAAATGTCTATTCAGCTTTCCTATCTTTTAATTTTTTTATTATTGAGTTGTAAAAATTCTTTATATCATCTAGATATCAGACCCTTAGCAGATATATTACTGGCAAATATTTTCTTCCACTCTATAGATTATCTTTTCACTTTCTTGATAGTGTCCTTTGATGCACAAAAGATTTTAATTTTGATGAAGTACAGCTTATCTATTTTTTCTCTTAGTGCTGTGCTTTTGATATTGAATTTAAGAAATGATTAGGAAACAGTTACCTAGCCCAAGGTAATGAAGATTTACTCCTATACTTTCTTTTGTGAATTTTACAGTTTTACTTTGATCCCTTTTGAGTTAATTTTTGTGTATGATGTGAAGAAGGGGTCCAACTTCATTTTTTCACATGTGGATATCTAGCTGTTCCAGCACCATTAGTTGAAAAGGTTATTTTTTCTTCATCAAATTATCTGTTGGCCATAAATGTGTGGGTTTATTTCTTGACTCAATTCTATTCCATTGGTCTGCATGTCTAGGAACAGTATTTTTAAACTACCTCAGGTGAATCCATGTGCAGTCAAGATTGAGAACCATCTGGCCAGGGTGGAGAGTTTGGCTAGTTTGGTTAGGAGACAGCACAACGCAAGGTTTTTGTAATACTTCTTTATTGGTGTGCACACCATTGTTCTTCACTAAATCAGTGTTTCCTATAAGAATTGCCAGGGATGCTTGTTAACAACAGACTTCTTGCGCCTGTGTGCTGGGGAGCACAGGGCTTGGTAGTGGAGAGGGAGGGTTCAATTTTCCATTTGACTTGTGATTCTGGGTTCTTCCACATGGACACTTCCTTTCTACTGAATGCAAGCTGATCAGTCCCTTCAGGAACCTGTGCATTTAATGAACCCTCCAGGTGAGTCTTATGGTCAGGCTAGCTGGGGTGATGCTGGGTCTGCTAGGGCAGCTCATTAGAAGCCTGTTACACTTGTGCCTGGCCTGTCCACAGAATTGTTATACCTAAGGTACTCTTGGGGTGATGCCATTACCCTCTGTTAACAGGGGGTTACAAAAAACAACCCTATGAAACTCCACGTTTACTTTGCACTCTTCCCTTGGCTACCTTATTTAATATTGCCTCCTGCCAAAATGTGTACAAATGCTGTTATACTCACAGTTCTTCCCCATCTGTGTTGTTTGCTTTATTTTTCAGTTGACTGCAGCATTCTTAGCACCAAGAAGAGTGCCTGCATACAGAAGGCACTAGTAAATGGAAGGGTATTGTTGGAATGAAGGGAGAGATATATCTATTTCAGTATTAGAAATATTCTTGTTTCTTGTTGCTGTGAATCATGGAAGTATGTTTCTGTCTTTGCATGGGCTGCTCAAAAATCGCCTAAGCCTAAAATGGTGTGGCTTATAGCTTGCAGTTCAGCTACCTGGGAGGCTGGGGCAGGAGAATCACTTGAAATTACGAGTTTGAGGCCAGCCTGGGCAACATAGTGAGACCGTTTCTTTAAAAAACAAAATCACCATATTTATGTCCATTTTGTAACAGGTGTGTAGAACTAAGTGACTTATGTGTCATGCTCTAACCTTGAATTCTTTTTTCCCTCAACTAATCTTGCTGTGTTGTGTGCATCTGCAAGCTATCTAAATCTTTGAAAACTAGCAGGGTGAAAAGTACTATTTAATCAGATTTGATGAGAAGTTCTTAATTTCAGTTCTTTCTCTTGGTCTGTAAAATTAAAAACTTGAATTCTAGGTGAAGGAGGATAATTTTTCTAAGAAATGAATTCCTTTTTATTTCTTTTTTTTTTTTAGGATAGAATTTTTGCGACATTTGAAGAGCTTTTTCCAGATTATGTTTAAAATCGAAACCAAGCCATGTGGTGAAGAACTCAAGGGCGGGGATAAAGTACTGATGACCTGTGTTGGGGTTGGCTTCTCCAACCTTAGCAAGACCCTCAAGTGATAACTGTTGCAAGATGAGGCCCCAGTGCCTACAGACAAAGCAGAAGCTGCCATGGACACCAAAGGGACCAAGACCAAATGTGTTCACCCAGGACAGACGAGCCACTGCTATTAAGGACTTGCTTAATTTTCCGTTAAAAAGTTTCAGTGTGCAGACAAGACATCTCTGTATCATATGGTTTCCAGCCATTTCTCCAGTGGCATGGACATTCCTCAGGAGGCCCAATTACCATAAGAGCTTCCTTGCCTACCTGGAGGAAGAGTGTGCCTTCAGGACGTAGTCATGCTGCTGGGGCAGTATGACAGTTGTGTTTCAGCCACGCTTCCTCAGCCCACAGTCCTGGGCTTCTGTCCAGACCTGGTCTGGGCTGTTCATCAGACCTGTGGAGTCTGTTACTGTGCTTTCTGCAAGGACTTATCTCTTTGAGCATTGGTGTCTGTTATAGGAGCTAAATGAGATATTATGTTTAGAAGCTCTTTAGAATTGTGCAGTGCTATGCAAATTCCAGAAATTGGTAAATTAGACTGTTTGTCTCTCTTCTGAATGGCTTGCTATCATGGATGCAGATCCTGATCCTCATCTGGTGCATTGTATGCAGATGTGAGGGGTGGGTGGCTGCAGAGCGTGGGGGTCCAATAAAGTTATTGGGTGATTTTTATATTCCAAGTGTGCCACACATTTTCTCATTTTATTCTCTCAATAGCCTTATGATAGAAATTGTATCTCCACAAGAAAATTCAAAAAGGTTATTTTGTTTCTTTGAAATGTATGATGTAAAGACATTAGATCTCCTGAGTTAAAGATGAGAGTGTAATAGAGTCAGGATCTGGGATTTTGCCCTTCTTGTTAGCTAATAAGTTAGATTATTACTGGTTTTGTTGTTTTCTTTGTTTTTTTTTTTTTCCTGGGGTTTTTTTGTTTGTTTTTTAGTGTTTTTTCTTGAGTCAGTCTCATTCTGTTGCACTCAGGCTGGAGTGCATTGGCATATGATCACTGTAGCCTTATCCTGCTGGGCTCAGACAGTCTTTCTGCCTCAGCCTTACAAGTAGCTAGAACTATAGGCCCATGTCACCATGCCCAGCTAATTTTTAAAATTTACTGTAAAGACAAGGTCTTACCAAATTGCCTAGACTTGTTTCGAACCCCGGGCTCAGGCAGTCCTCTTGCCTCCACCTCCCAAACTGCTGGGATTGCAGGCATGAGCCACCATGCCTGGCCTGATTATTACTATTTTTAGATTAGATTAATTTAGTTAGATTATTACTAACAGAAGACGTGTGAGAGTCCTGAGTCAGAGACAAAGAACTTTACCACTCAGCATAGCAAGCAGCATGAGCTTCATGTTTATGTTGGTTTCCTTGTGTCCTAAGTCTCACAGTGGATGTTGAGGGACCCAGGCAGATACATGCATTAAATGGGTTTGCATCACAGCCAAGGAACATGTGTGTTTGGGGGGGCGCCACCTCTTTTGTAGCAAGCCTGCTCTTTGTTCCAATGGAGACATTACTTCATTCTTCAAGATTGCCTGCAAAAAACACATTTCTAAGAAAGGACCCAGGAAAAGGCCTGCCCAGCAAGAATGTGAAGGAATACTCCAGACCTGTGGCAGATTACTTTTTCCAGCCAAAAGAATCTACATTTGGTGTGTGTATGGGGTTGGAGTTGGTAGAGGGTGAGAGACCTAGTTCTTTCTACCAGGATTCCAAATGTTATCCTCCACCTAGGGTGGGCTTTTGAAGTAAGTAAGGGTCTTTGTCTAACCAATCCCTCATGGCACCTTTTTCTTATTCAGTGAAGGGCAGCCAGTGCAAAGCTGTGCTCTGATGGCTGGGGGAGTGAGAGGATATGGAGGTGGAGGGTTGACACTGAGAGCTTTGTGTGTTGTGTTGGTGTTCTATTGGTGTATAACAATTGCCCACAAATTGAGCAGCTTAAAACAACACCCATTTATCATTTGACAGTTCTACAGGTCAGATGTCCAGGCAGGCTTGATTGGGTTCTCTGCTTAGGGTCTCACAAGACTGATGTCATGGTATCAGCTGGGCTTCCATCTGAAGGCTCTGGGAAAGAACGTGCTTCCAGTTCATCCAGGTTGTTGGCAGAATTCCGGGTGTGGGACTGGAGTCACCTGTTTCCTTGCTGACTGGCGGCTATGGACAACTCCCAGCTAATGGACATATACTGTCCGCATTTCTATCTACTTGGTTCCCTCCATCTTCAAGTCAGCAGTGGTACATGGAATCTTGATATTTTGAATCTGACTTCCTTTTGTGACACCAGATGGAAAACCATTGCTTTTAAATGACTCATATCACAATAGTCCCACCTGGATGATCTCCCTATTCTAAGGTCATCTGGTTACAGCAGTACCTAGATTTGTATTTGAGTAACCAGCAGCTGGGAATTGAGGCTGCCATCTTAGAGTTCTGTCAACCACATATTGCCCACGTACGTGCTGCATCACTTATGACTCAGATCTGGAACTAAAGGGCCACATTGTTTTGGACATGTCAAATGCTATTTGACAGGGGCTTTCTATCCCTTGGTACCCACCCTGGAAATGGTTCTGTTGGTCAAGTTAGAGTGTAGTAGAGGCCAGGCAGATTATTGCAAGCAGAGAGTGGACATGCTCCTGTCCACTGCAGACATGGCAGTGTTTGTTGGGTTTCCAGCCCCCCCATCTGGCACAGCTGCTTCTGGAGTTGGAACATCTGGCAGTAGTGATGGTATTGCCTAAAGAAGGACAAATTTAATATTCATTTAAACAGCCCACTCCTAGCCCCTTCTCATTCCTAAGAGAAGTAATATCATTCCCTGGGCAGACGTCATTCTTTGTTGGTTGCTGGTACATTTTAGAGACCATGCAACTCTTGTGATCTCTGTCCTGTTCTTAGATTAGCTCCTGGTGGTTCCAGATAGTCACTGGTGTAATCTGAGAAGAGAGATTCCAGCATTTGAAGGCTGGTTTTTTTTGTCTTGGTCTGTGCTCCTTTCTACTGGCAGAAACCAACCACTCTGAGTTCCAGCAGCAGTGGTTCACTAGAACTAGTGCGTCTTTTAGGCAGATACACCTGTGGATTTGTTGGAGGTCATGGCAGAATCATTGTCTTTGCCCCCACTGTCATCTATCAGGCCCTGCTTCTGTCTTTCAACACCCTTCAGTTGCATTTTGTGGAAACACCAGCCAGCCTTCCACTGGGATGATTTTACTGCACTCGTCAAAACAGTTGCTAAGGGGTGGGAGGAAGCCGGTGTACTGCAATGTGAGATGCTGATTGGGAAAGAGCAACAAGATGACCCACTGAAATTCAAATTGCCCTCTAAGGGCAGCTAAACCTCGTAGGTTGTGTTAGGTTTTTTTCCATCTTTATTTTAGATTTAGAGGGGACACATGCAGATTTGTGACATGACATATTGTGTAGCAGTGGGGATTGGGTCTCAGGTAGCACATTCCCCAGATAGTGAACATTATACCAAATAGGTAATTTCTGAACCATGGCCCCCTTCCCAACCTCTCCCCTTATTGGTGTCCCCAGTGTCTATTATTTACATCTTTGTGACCATTTAGCACCTGTATGTGAGTGAAAACATATGTGTTTGGTTTTCTCTTTCTGAGTCAGTTTACTTAGGATGGTGATCTCCAGTTCCATCCATGTAACTGTAGAGGACACAATTCCTTCCCCCTTTTTTTAATGGTTATACAGTATTCCATAGTGTGTCTATACCCCATTTTGTTTATCTAGTCAATTGTTGGTGGGCACTTAGGTTGGTTCCATGATTTTGCTATTGGGAATAGTGCTGCAGTGAACACACAAGTACAGATATATTTTTTATATATTGATTTTCTTTGGGTAGATCCCTAGTAGTGGGATTGCTGGGTCAAATGGTAATTCAATTTTTAGTTATTCTAGAACTGCCCATACTGTTTTCCATAGCAGTTGAACTAGCTGATAAAAAGCAGTGAGGGATGGCTGATCACAGACCCAACTTAAAAAACAAAAACTCAAATTGCACCACGGTATCTCTCCTCCCACTGTCACTCTTACAACAAAAGACCATGAGGTGGCCATTTCCCTCTGGGTCTTCGTGTTGAGAGGTTCCTGGGTGAGGCTAATACTGGCACTTAGTTTTATTATTATTATTATTATCATTATTATTATTATTTTGTAGAGATGGAGTCTTGATGTGCTGTCCAGATTGGTCTCAAACTCCTGGCCTCAAGCGATCTTCCCACCTCAGCCTCCCAAAATACTGGATTACAGGTGTGATCTATTGTGCCTGGCCTCCTTAGCAACTGGTTTTATGGTCATGGAGCAGAACAGTAGAGGGTACTGAGGGGAGGGAGAGGAAGAGGCAGAGTAGAGTAGAGGAGGCTTGAAGCAATTGATAAAATCAAACAGGTGGAGAGACTGAAGCACCAGAAAAGCAGCATTTCCAAAGTTTCATCAGTGCCTGAGGTGGGAGTGGGTTCACCTGGGTTAGGGGGCATCCGGGTAGGCTAAAGAAATGGATCTCCTGGGGCCTCTGGTCCAAGGTGTGAGGATTAGACTGTGGGGTTGCATTGACTTCCCAGTCAGTCCTGTGTGGGAGACCTGTGGATGGACCAGTGGCAATATTAGCCAGTCTGTGTTGAGGGGGAGGGAATGCAATGCCATGCCTCGGCGGGGATGAGGAGTCACCCACACTTAGTCAGCCTTTCTGTGTCTGGAGGACATCGACCTGTTCTTTAGAAGTGACTAAGAGCAAGTGGGAATGCCAACAGGCAAGTCAGACCTTTTTGTACTTTTATTGGTCACATCTAAGAAACCATTAGAGTGGAACACTGTATCAGTGTTTGGCATCTAATAGAGGTCAAACCACATCCCTTTTCTCCAGCAAATAAATGCTGTCATTTTCTCAAGGGTTGCCTGGGTGTGGGGCTGCCCTACTTCCTTGTCACATTTGGCTCATACCTGCCAGACAATCTGAACCCCAACGCCGAGCACAGGCCTTGGGTCAGCACGGTTTTAAAACATCTTAGATGTTTCTGATATTTGATTTTCTCTGAAGGCTCAGGACTTTATTCCTCTGTGTTTCCTCCCCATTCCCAGCCCTCCAAAGAACCTTGTATCCAAATACATTCAAATTGATTAACTTGTTAATAATTTTTCTCTGCTACAATTTGGGAAATGATATATTCAAACAGATGAAGGTGGGTAAATTTATGGAAATCAGAGGCCTACTTAAAGATGAAAGATAATGAACCAGCCCTGCGATGACATATGTGGTGCCCCCATATGGTGGGGCTGCTGCTGGATTCAACAGGTAGCCACCTGGGCAACTGGTCTCCATTTTGGGAGCCAGCAGTGCCCCAAAGGTGAATGGTAGGGGCAGCTGCCTCTTCCTGCTACATCTGGGAGTGGTGGGTCATCCTGAAGCTCTTGGTACTCTTCCAGGAAGAAGGTTAGTGTTTGCAATGGTGCCTGGCTTCAGTTGGGACAGTCAGCTTCAGGCTGTTTTAAGGGTGCACTTGGTCCCTGGACCCTCCCACGTGCTTCTCTCTTTAAGAGAGCTCCGTTTTGACCACCCTGCTGTTTTCCCATTAGGCAATTAAAGGCATCCTGCCTAAGATCTGTAAACTTTGACAGACTTATGAAAATGCTTGCAAGAAACCAGGAGGAAAAAAACATACTAGCTGCAAATGATGCAAAGAAAATAACAAAAATAATTAAATATCCACAAAATGAAACACTTTCTAGCTTAGTCTTTTCCAGCTTAATTGTTAAAATATGGAGAACAACATAGGTGAGAATTTATTTTCTCACAAGAATTTCT